AAGTGTTTCGGAGTCAATCGCCAAATGGTAGAGTTAAAACTTTCGTTGGCGTTCTGCGTATGGCCACCCAAGCACCTTTCCAGTAGATCTTCTCTGGACAAATCTTCATAAATTGGTAAGAGGTGCTCCTTCATCTCTTGGCCAAGCAGTGGTGACAGATCTTCGAGTCTCGGATCCGTGTTCAAAGCGACAGCTTTCTGCCATTTGCACCAGCTCTCAGCTCCCGTCGGGCAGCTTCCGTGGTTTGGCTCTTCTTTCGTTGAAAAGATATGATAATACGTAGCCATAATTGCGTTTTTCATATTTTTAACACTATCTGTGTTTCTTTGAATGCTCACACCATAATATTTAGTGTCGCTTAATTTTTTTCTCCGTTAACTTGTTTCTTCCGCCAAGTTTTTTTTCTTTTCTTACGTTTTGGAGTCTGTTGTATATTCTCTTTTCAACGTGGCCGATACACTCACTTTTGACAGTCAACCCCCCAAAGTTTTTTTTACCCCGCACAAGGTTGTCAAGTCGATTTCGGCACTTGGCAACGCCGCTTTTGCCCGTTCGGCCCAAGCGCTTCAGGTACGATCCCGGCGTTCCACGAGCGCTCTCAATTATGGGCTATATCTCCGTAAATATGTCATATTTCGACTTGCTACTTTGCCAGAATACTCTCAAGGGATGATACTTTCGAAATATGTAAAAAAAATTCGATTTTTTTGAAGGTTGTAAATGTATTTCTCCCCTTAATGTAAATTATGTGTATAATAGTAAAAATGTATTATTATGTTTATTTTATGATAATAAAATATATAGTTAATATTTAGTAAAGTATATAGTAAATATATATTTCATTGGTAAATAAAATTTAGACCGATAAAAGAATAAATTAATAAGAAAAAGAAGATCAACGTCTGCACAAAATGAGAGTGAAGTTTGCAAAAAATATTTTAAAATTTTTATTACCATCATTAAATTGACGATCAATATAATTTGTAATGTTATTTCCAGCTTCAGTTTATAATTGTGTTTCAAGCAGGGATGGCACGCAACACAAAACTCGCGGCTTAAACGTGTAAAAAACAGATTAGTTTTGCTTCAGGGAACAAAATTCATACAGAGCTATATTCATATTTTGAATATAGGAACAAAACCAAAAGCAAATGCACATTTTGTTTCACGATCGATGCAAAACGAAAGTAAATGATTAAAGTTTTGTGTCGAGAATCGAAAATATAAATATAG